CTTTCATCACCGGTCCCCAGCCACCGCACGCACCTCCATCACTCCACCTGCGCTGCCTCCTCCGTCAGAATCAACGACCATCATCACGTCCGCCGCCGCCAACACTGCCAGATGTATTGCTGGCCTTCGCCTCATATGCATTACAGCTAAGAGGCTAGCGCAGCATCCACTTCACTCTCGCCTCCAACAACCATCATCTGCCCATGCCATGACGACTGAGGATGGGCACCAGACGGGGCACAGTAGCCGATGCGACTTCAAATCGCCACCCATCGCATATCCACTTGGCGTCCTTCTAGGTCTGACGCAATTGCACCATCCAATGATCAATCCCACCTTCATCATTACTAGCAGTCCTCTGTGCCAGTCCTTCGCACCCACTGACACCTAGTCCAGGGTATAGCCGGACTGTTCTGCATATCGGCCCCACATGGCCAGGCGCCCGGAAACCATCTCTGACGCCCTCCTTCGGCGCCCACAACAATTCCAAGAGTCATCATTCACTGTCATGGCAGAAGACACTACGACACCAATAAAACCACCATCGTCTCATCGCAAGCAATTACCCACTACCCCCACAAGTCCACACTGCAGAAGACACCGCCTCGCTGAGGCAGCAACACCCTACTCCAGCTCAGAACTGTTCCACTCCATCGTATCCAACGCTAGGCATTACGTCGGACGTAGAAGAGTGGCACTTCATTTCTGCCCAGGGAACGACACAACTGCACAAACAATCGTGTAACTAGAGGGCAGAACGCTCTGGTTGGGTTTCTAATAATCTGAGGTTTGGTGGCTACGTACTGAATTTTTCTGGTAGTGTGTCCTGGTTGCGCTCATGTCTGCGAGTGCCGCCGAAGGGCCGAACGAGACTAGGATTTACTTTTTTCGGCTTCGAATGGCTGTTCTAGGACAGCACGCGCCTTAGAGATTCGACAACAGTTCAAGTGCTACGTGCACATGCGCACACTCGTTGATTTCATGCAGCGGACCGATTTCGCATGCTGACTAATAACAACAGCCAGTCAATTAAGCTGCCTGTAGAGGCCTGGCTGTTCGAAATCAGACTGCGTGCAGACCGCACCTTACCACAAATCTGTACTATTTACGTCATGTATTGAACCTGCAGTCAGGTGTTTAGTGCGAGCAGCGCCACACTAGAAGCGAAACTGTCGTCTGCCCTAGCTATGAGGGACATTTCGGTGTGAAATGTGCCGATATCTGCAGATAACTGTGAAAGTTTGGATAAACATTTAATCTATGTCGGATAATTGGTATACGAGTTAGTGCACGTGGTAGGGATAAGAAGTCGAAGTCAACAAACCAATCTGGGAGGTAAACGCACAGGCGTGGATAATCGACGCCAGGTTCCCAACAGACTTACCGGAAAAGTATATTAAGAGAGCAATGCCCACTCAGAAGACTCAAGCGACACATCATTATTATTTCAGTTCGAAACACATCAGAACCTGAGTTTCCTAAAGAACCATGGGTTCTCGTTTGAACGATACCTATCTAAATGAGAGAACATGGAAATCGTTGTTACCTTTGCTGTAGCTTCAGCTTGGCGTCCAGGAGTGCAACACGCTTCTTTGGTTTATCTGCCAGACAGTTCTTGTTGATAACGGCCGTGTTGAACGGGATATTGACCGCGTGTCGCGTTGGCATAAGGTGATTGTAGTTCACAAGCTTGATAAACGGCTTTATCTTCGAGCGGTTGTCGATACGCTTTTTCCCCATTTTACGCAAAATGCGGCGGGGATAGCGATCGATCCCAACTACAAGGGCATGTCCGTAGGGCTTGTCATTCGAGCCGTCGTCATAGCTTTTAATAACAATAGCCTTCCTGCCTGCGTAGCGTCCACTGAGGACCAGAACAGCAATGCCTGGACGCATTAAACGGACATTTGTCCTTTAGTAACGATGAGGACGAAGGGAAAACACAACCCACCTCACTTCACGCGACATCTTCGCAGCAGCGCGCCACAGTGAGCGTTTAAACAAGGCCGGTTTGATAGGTGGCTTCACAAGTTCAAGCTTACTTCTTTTTTTAATTGTTCCGACGTGTTTACGTATGCATGGATTAGCTCAGCTCACTTTATCGAGGGAAATAGGCGTGAGCCTTTGAGTATCCGATTTTCAATGTAAAACTGGGGGCGGTGTACAGAGAAATTATCTGGGCTGAAATAATTCGAACGAACCCATAATGGTATGACAAAATGGAAGTGTGTCGCAGGAGATGAGATCGATCTCTCTTCGGAATATATGTCAAGGTTCTTTTTAAAGCTTCATATCGATGGTGACATCACAATATCTGCGGAGAGGGCATTCCATGGCTTGACCACTCGGCCAGAGGGGGAGAATTTCAGCGCATCCAGCTTTGCCTGCTCAGTGCGCAGTTTTATCGGATGACCTTGGGGGCCGGACGTGGTAGTGAATTCAGAAAAGTCTTCAAAGGCCAGGCTGCAGCCCAGTGTCTTAACTATGCGGAGTACTTGCAATAGATCTTCGCATAATTGCTTATAACTCAGAGGGAAGAGGTTAATATCTACTAGGCGGATTGCATGAGGAAATGAGCCTTTACCCTCAGCCATCTTCGTGGTTCTCCTCCGGGCCCTTTCAAGGTAATTTCGATCTTGGACAGCCCATGGTCTTGAGGCTTGTACGCCGTACTCCAATTGAGGCCACATAAATGCCCCGAATGTCTTTGAGGAATCGTCTTCGTCAAAACCCATAAATGTACGCTTTGAGGCGTACAGTACGGGCACTGTGCTTTTCGCCACTGTCGAACAATGAGCGGATAGTCTTCGGGAAATCGTCGTCAGCGCACCTAGGTCCTTTTGGGCTTCGGCGTCTCGTGAGGTTGCACTGCTTAGGAAGTATTCTCTTGTGTTGGCGGATCCGGCTGTGCTTCCTAGGCAAAGTATGCTGCACGTATAAACGTTGAACTGCAGTAACCAACATTTTGACCACTCATCTAACCGATATAGATTCATCCGCAGCCTGTCTTTGTTGGCAACACCCCGAATTACAATGTATATTTTCATGTAGTCCGCAAACATTACTGCTTCGCAGTTAAAACCTTTTGCGTTATCGTTCACGTATATAAGCAGCAAAATAAGTTCCAGTACTGAACCCTGAAGAAAATCATTCTAGAACACAGCAGGATCTGACTTCCCTTGATCGATACACATAGCCTGCTGTCGACCCACAAGGAAGAGTACCATGCTTTTGAGGAAGTTGCCATTGATCTCTATTTTTTTCACTGTGCGTGGCACAATGTCGAACGCCTTCTGGAAGTCGATGAAAGCTATGTGAACCGCGTTCCCGTCGTCAAGTGCTCGGGTCCAGCTCTGGAGAGATTGCAGCAGGTTTATCGTGCAGGATCTTCTTGTTCGGAACCCATGTTGGCATTTCGATAGCAGGCCGTGAACTTCCAGGAATTTCATCAGTTCACTCTTTATGATCCTTTACATGACTTTGCAGAAAATGTATGTCAAGCTTATAGGTCTGTAATTTGTCATCGATGTCCTGCTACCTCCTTTGTATAGCGGAATAATTAGTGCCAGTTTCCAATTAATAGGAAGTGTTCCAGTGTCAAATGACGTTTGAAATAGCATCGGCAAAGGCACCGAAAGCTGATCGGCAAGCTTCTTGAGAAGCTTGGGTGAAATATTTTCTGGTGCTAGCGAATTCGATTCGTTCAACGCCTGTAATTCTCTTCGGATAATGCCTCCTGAGAATAGTACATAATGTATGTTGGGAGTCGGCAGTTCTTCTGTGGATTGAGGAAGGAACCTTATCTCGTTTGTGTAGACTGGTTGGAAAAAAACTGTGAGAACTACACAGCTTTATCCCCACTATCAGCAATCTCAACGCCATCAGTAGTCCTTCTTAAGATGATTTGGTGTCTGTTCCTTGTAATTCTTCCGAGGTAGCTGTAGAGCAATTTTCGGTTCTGTGTTGCTTTTCGCAGCAAATTGTTTTTTCCGACTTCTCGGCGCGCTTTTGTAAATATGTTTCCCAGTTTGTTCCTCTGTGTCCTGTAGGTGTTGAAAGATTCAACTTGCCTGGTGACGCAGTAATTTATCCACAAGTTGTGCTTCCCGTTGATTTCTTTCTTTAGATTGCTATTTAGCCACCTAGGCCACTTGTTCTGTTTTACACTCGTCAGTGGGCAGGGCTTGTTGATGAGCAGCAGAAGGACATTCTTGAACAACTCCCACTCATCATTGGCATTATCCCTAAACATTGAGCACCAGTCGAGACAGGATATATCTGCCCTCATCTGATTGAATTCGCCCCGCCAAATGTCGGCTCTTTTTTGGTCTGCAGTATGAAAAATTGAGAATAATGAATAATCTCACATAATCACTACATGGTTGTTCCGACTTCCGTCTAAGCGCACAAAAGGGCAATGCTGGCTTATTTTATAAGTAAATCACACATATGGGCAATCCACACATGAAGAGCCCAGCTATGGCATCTAAAGATGTAGGAAGCTACGTCGATCGCTGACTAGATCACATTATTCAGAGGCTGTCCTACAGAAGAATCTGTCGGGGATGGAATCCGAAACGAACAACAGAGCGTGCGTCACACATACACAAGCCTGCCAGCGCATGTTGCAGTCCTAATGATTTGGTGAACTAAGTGGATTGTCGTAAAGAGCGGAGACAACGTAGATATTTCGATAGGTCCCCAACACAACCCAATCACCCGAAAACAAATAACGAGAAGTATTATCCTCATACGACTGAATCAATTCTCGGACTTGGCTTTGGACCTCCCATTCAGTTTAATCCAGTCCCTAGGATGGTAACATTTGTTAGCAAGGAAAGCAAGAAGACACTGGGAAAAATATTTCTGTTCTTTTCATATAATGGACAACACGTAGCAAACAGAGAGCGTTACATAACTTATGAAAAATGTAACCCCAGCATATGGGCGAATGGTTTTTCTTAATGTGATGTGCCTTGACAACCAACTAATGAGAAGCCTAACTAGCTTACGATTTCGGCCTTATACAACTTAAAATATGCATCCGCATGCTAGGGTTTAGTCCCAGTCGGAAGGATTATTTCAGATATGCGTGAATGATTCTACTAACATTATTTTTTTGATAGTAGAGGGACGCTTGGCGATCGCGCAACTTAACACAGTCGTCCCGCTTTGTGCCTCGGGGCTCGATCTTCAGCCCCTGAGGCAGCTGGACAGCGGTCGGTAGTATACGCAGTTCGACCGTCCCGATCGACGATGTCGCTATGCGCTTCACAGCAGGTTAAGAGCAGCCACGATGAATTGTAAACGTTTACTTTTATACGGGTAGTAGAATTGCACAGCATCTACCGCACTTTCTCCTCCTCCCCCACCTGGGACCGGTGTTGAGACATAGTGAAAAAGACCGGAGGTGCGAGAGGGCGCAGGTGGCTGATACGGTCGGAGCCTGATATCTCTAGTGGCGTCGTCTGCGCGTGTCCCATGCACGATTTGGCCCCCAAACACAGGCAACAGGATTTCACTCGACAGGTGGTTGGTGGCATGCATCTCACATGTGTGAGACTGTCAGGAGTCACGTTAAGAAGGAACTATTGCAGCCCGACTCTCAGTCTACCAGTCATCCTTTTAACCCACAAACAATCGCAATCAGGCTGACTGCGTGGATTGAGTTGAAACGTCATTCGGCAGTCTTCCAAGCCACGGAACTTGGCGCTTCGTGATAGTCTCAGACTCGAATCACACATACAGTAGATGGGCCATATCAAAAAGGAGCCGAGAAGTGCACAACCCACTCAGTTGGGCTGTGCCGGCGTTGCGGAATTTTGAAGGGTGTATGCGTGGTGCATGTGCCGGGGGAAGTGTGAAGTGATGCCGTTGTATCTGCAGTGATTTATCTCAGGTTTCAATGAATGCGCATGTGATTCTGTAAACCCATACGGTGACTGAATGTACAAGTACAGTGCGGGCAGTTGGGAAGAGTGCGGGAGGTGTATATTAGTGTTCCAGGCACTGGTTCGCCAGTCCCCGTGCGATAGGTTCGCAGGTGACCGGACAGGCCGATGTGTACGCGAATGTGCAGTCGCAATAAGGATAGGCTGGGAATTAGTACACATCGTTGGAGGAGGGTGCTTTGGCGGTTTTCTGGGTGCCGGGAGCGTCTTAGTCGGTGGCAGGGGTTTTGTTAATCGTCGCTGCAGTAATTACTTATGGCGTCTGAAGTAATGGAGGTGGTAGCGCCAACGGCAGCGCGGCGCGAAGATTCGAAACAACGTTCGTAAGGGTGGGAACCGACGTAAAGTTCGGCGCAGAGGCGATTTTGGAGACGACAATTGCGGTCGTCGGGCGATTGGTGCATTGGGTCTGAAGATGACGGAGGAGGCCGATTCGCGCACTGACTTCTCGTTGACAGTGCGGGAAAGTAGGGCAAGTTTGAGTGGTGATGTTTCAGACGGGAGGTGCATGGGACTTGCGGGCAGTTCTTTTGGCTTTGACAACGGTGATCCAGTTTGCTTCGTAGATGAATACACCAGTTTTCTCTTTTGTAGGCTGGTATGTTCTGGGCGAGATCCTCCCAGATCCCTGTGCTGGTATGAAATTGCTTAAGAGGATTGCTAGTAGGACTCCGTTACAATGCCCGAGTTTTTCGACGTGTTATTCCATTCGTATTATGATTGATTTCAGTAGGAGGCCTACACTTAGTTCCTTTAGCCTCCGCCTATTTTTATGGGTTTCGGTTAGATATAGGGGGATATTAATTGATTACCTTTAGGTTTCTAGGGGCAGCTTTGGATTTATAGTTAGCCTGAGGGTTAGCGTCATGTTTATTTTAAAGGTTAGGATAAGGGCTATGCCTCGGCTTACCTTTAGATTAAGATCGCTTTTGTCGGTTTGCTGGAGGTTTTGTGGTGTGAGTTAGTGTCAGGCTTCGGGATTAGCTTAGGGTTAAGGCTAATGTTAGGTTTAGAGATAGGGTTAGGACTAATGTCCGGTTTAGGAGTGAAATTAGGGTTGGGCTTTAAGTCAAGTTTAGAGATGTGGTTTAGGTTTGGGATTAGGATTAGTTATTAAATTAAGGTTTACGCTTAGGCTTACATTTAGGTTTACGGCTAGGGTTAAGAAATTTAGGGTTACGGTTTGGGATACTGCCCGGCTTAGACTAATAGGCCTGGGGTTTGGCTTTGGCGCATGATTAGGTTTACGCTTATACGATGATCCATCAGTCGGTGGCCGCCATGCTTGTAGATTTCAACCCGAATCGCATCGGAGCCTAGTGCTTTCCTACTGGGGAGTTTTTACATGGCGCGGTTGGTTCGTGATTTCCACTTGGGGAGCCAGTCGATGGCGGCGTCGGAAATTGTGGAGGAATCGTTGAGGACACGTATAAAGTGCTTGGCTCAACGATTCCGAATCCGCGACTTCTCCGTCAGAAGCGTTGACCCATCAGAGATTAGGAGCGGCGCAGTTCTTTTCGTTGGGAGATCTTAGATCACCCAGAGATCAAGGAAGAAGCTCTTCGTTTCATTGCGGTCGGCCTATACCTGTATCTCTTCGGCCATACGAGCCACACAGGCGTCCTGCATTTCTCACAGTCGTTACTGCGCAGGGAAGCGACATCGGCAAAAGGCCGCTTTGTTCGCATAGGTGGGACAATCGAGGTAGGTTCTGTGCAGTTTGTTATTCTCGGCGAGCAGGTTGCTGATAGCTGCGTCATTGTCGTCGAAATAGTCCTGCTTCTGACGATGTGTGCGACCAAGTACACCCAGGGCGGTCGACTGGACGGCTTCGCGCAGTTAGCACAATCGAGTCTCCGCGAAGGCGTTCTCATCTAGAGCTTGCAGTTCTTTCAGGTGCCGGATAATTTGCTTGCTGAAATGCAAACGGGGAGCAGGCAAAGACAAAAAACGATATTCAGCCTACCTGATGGTCGCTTGCCTTATGGCCTCCTGCGGGGTTGCGGACGGAACCTCATCTTGGAGATGACGAGGCGGTGTTCCGTCCAGCTATCCGGCGTCACAAATCGCCTTGGTCATTATCACGTCCTGTCGATCGCGCCGCCGGACTAAAACATAGTTCAGCAGCTGAAAATGTCACAACCGAGGGCGCATCCAGGTCGTCTTCTTCCACAACGGAAGACGAAAGAGAGTGTTGCTTAGCAGGAGACGGTGTTCTGCGCAGTCTTGCAGGAGGAGGAGGACGAGGAGGCTACTGTCGTTGCAGCCCGCAGTTCCGCGAGGACCTAACACTGCTCTACAGGCAACGCGGTCTGTCCAAATGCGGACACTGAGGTCGCCAAGGATAATCAACCTATCTACCTTGGTACAGTCGCCAGGAGGGCGTGAAGGTCATCGTAGAATTTGTTCCTTGCGGCGCTAGGGTTGGTCATGGGGGAGCGTAGACGTTGATTATGGTAGCGAATTTTTCTCTGGAGAGTCAGACAGAGGCTCACCAGGGGGTCTTTGGTACCTTGCGGCAGACAGGGCGGTTGTCCTACGATCTCGTTCCGGATGGCGAAGACGATACCCGTATTCCGTCGTTCTGCTTTGGGGCGGCCGTCCCGGAAGAAGGTGTAGCCGGCACCCACCTCTGGCAACTGAGGAAGATGGGGATGGAAAGGTGGTGGAGGGGTTACGGGGTGGGGATGTAGAATGGGAGGGAAATCGGGGTTAGCTGGTGTGGGGACGCACAGCATCTGGTACCCTTCCCTGGTTTAACCCGCCGATCGAGGCGGTTACTAGATTGTGGCCGCTGGGCGGAGCCTGTCTTCGGGGAGCCACATTTGCAAAACGGATGCCAATTAATGAACGCTGGGCACAGTCAACCCCTGTCAGTAAGTAAAAAACCTAATACGACGTTCACGCGGAACCAAGGCAGGACACTTTTGCACTCCTGTCTTTTTCGGTAGTGTTGTTACGTCAGTATATTTCTAAGTTAATAAAGATGAAGAGACAACTTGCAGGAGGCGGTTACAAATAGGACGGGATCGCTGCTGAACTATTGCTAAGAACTGGCATTTGAGAAAAGGTTTTATCACAAATCACAAACGAACAATTAGGTCGTCCGATTGACTTTCAGTCTAGTTAAGCATATTTGAAGAAAAAAGACCTACGCCTTCAAACTCTCTATTTCTCAAATACATATCGGAAGAATTAGTAACGACACAAGGGAAATACCGTGCCAAGTGAAAGCAGTATTCGTTTCACATAAGTACCATTGTTTTGAAGACTACGCTTTCATGCAGTCCTATTTATGTTGCAGCATGTGTCTATCAGGTAGACGTTCAAGCATATTGGCCGACGGCGTCATTAAAACCAACCCAGCCAGATTGTTCCGTGGTTCTACAACAGAGTTAGAGAGAAAAAATCGGGCAAAATACAAGAGTGCCGCCCACGCCTTAGCGTCATTCCACGTGTCTACTGTTAACGTTCGAGTAGCCAAGTTTTTGTAGTCTTCACTTGATTTGATTGTGCAACGTATCTACCCTAATTTGCATGTAACGTGGTATTCCGTTGCCCAGCATTGTCCTGGGTATGCTCTAGTCGATATCCAATAACTAATTTTTAATTTGCTTTCAGCCGTATGCAGTCCGCGCACAGTTGTATTTAACAGTCCACAAACTTTGGCTTCTATTTACAATACCCCTTGTTATTTGCGATGCACATACTTTTGACATTAATATCCTTCTAATTATGCTTGACTATAACTTAGTTCTTTTGGTGAGCCGACCGAGCACGCCTGCTTTTTACCGAGCGACCCAATCGGCTCCACAGTGTGATTCCTACTCCCTTTGGACATGCGTCGATGCCGAAAAGATGGGCGTAGATGTTCTCGTGCATAGCATTTAGGAGAGTTAACGGAAAAACGTCTTATTTACAGGCTGCTATCAAAATGCCATAGACAGGCAACTGTCATTCCATCTCTGTCTCTCTTCCGATGGAGAGGGGCGGCAACACATTGCCCTTTACGTTGGCATTCTACTGCCTACTTCGGTCGGTGCTGTTTACCTTTGGTTTGGACAATGTGGGCTTCCTGTTATGGTGACCGCGCTTTCTGTGCCCATCGGATATGGATGCGCAACATGCCATAGGAAGTTGTTTCAACGTTCGGGAAGACTATCCGACTCCGCGCTGGAACAAAATCGACATTGGAACTCATGCAGATGACCCCATAATGACTTCACGAGAATCAACCCACCTTCCTGTCATTTCCGTTTTAGCCTGCTCCAGTAGGTTTGGATGGCATTGGTGTGCCTGCTGGTCGTGGGGTTCAAAAAGTTGAGCAAACGGTTGACCGTCAGATGGTAGTATCTTTCAGACGGCCGGCGTGCGTGCGCCTTCCACTCGACCGTTACTATCATAATGACCAGCGCCACCCCTTTCTTTATGACCGTTCTAGGCGGTGGCTAGGCACGGTCGTTCACTTGTTTAAACAGGGCCTTCTTGCGAACAGTGTCATACACGCTCATTAATCAGTATTGCACCTCAGCCATTCTCACATTGTATTTTATCCTTTTAATAATAGTTTCATCCACCTGCACTTTCATTCCCTAGTCTCCGAACTGCTCTGTCTTCTTCATATGAGCGTACGGACAGACATCCCGCCATATGACGTACCAGTGGACGACTGCTGTGCAGCCTACGCCGACTACGAATGTGCACCGACTTACCTTGGATACCTCTAGGAAGACCAAGCAGGTCTTCGGAATCTTTGGTAGTCAGTCTGCCATTCCAAAATACCGATCGCGTCTTACATCATTTTCGTACACTTGCCTTTGCCGCGGCAGAACAAGTAGCCGTCTGTGCGTTGGCGTAGTACTTGCTGTGTCATATTCCGTCGGCAACGGCATTTCAGGGACCACGGTAACAAGCCCTTTTCTTGACGGTAGTCCACTACATCGGCGGAGTTAACTGTTGTTTTAATTCCCGCCATGGGAGTAGGCTTGTCATCATGAGGACCCGCCTTCCGCCGCTCCCTAGGCACTGACTTGTAGTGGATTAGAATCAGCCCCAAACGTATCACTTTCAGGATGCACGCTTTGATTCGGGCACGCAGTCACATCTGACTCCGGCTGGTCCTGATTTATTTGACTCATTTTGCCCTTTCCTGTTATAGAGTTGAGCTACACTAAAGCGTTTATCACAGTTCAGCCAGGAAGATAAGCCGCTGACAGGATAATTCTATTTTATTTGATTTTCCATGCATTTTCCGAGTAATGAAAATTCAATTTTTCGTCCTCCATACCCGTCTAATCCTATTTTTATTGATGCTGTTTTTTTGGGGACGGAACTGAAAGCTTCCGTACTGAATTCATATTCAACCCTAATATATCGAATTTCTGACATATTTTTGGAGGATGAAATTTTGGATTTTTTGTCCTAAACCCTTTTTAACCCTATGTTACTTGATTTGTGACAGATTTTTCGAGGGGAAAGATCGACCTTTCCCTTCAAACTTCCTTCCTACCCCGACTCCTTGAAGTTCCGCTGGGTTTTTCGTTGATGAATATTGACATTTCAGTCGTAAATCCCTGCTTTCCCTAATTTACTTATGTTCAAATGTGCTTTTCAAGGGATAATTGACTTCTCCGTCGTTGGTACCATCTTGTTCCTAATTTTCTGATTTTTAACATTCACTATGAATAAAAATCAACGTTTCCATCCTGAAACATTGATTACTTATCTTATTGGAGTGGAATCACGACTTGTTCCAAAATCCACAGTTACCTATTGATGTTGACCGCCGTCCATCGCGCTGACTGCAGGGCACAATTAACACTGAGTCCTCTACGCGTTCTTATTAGCTAGTTGGCCTTCGACAAGTTCTCTTCCCTTCATCAACCGGTGACTTTCGCACCCCTACATGTCTACATATTGTCTTATTTTTCATTTAGGACCCGTTTACTAGCTCTTTATACATCCACTTAAGAAAAGGTTTTACTTATGTTTGTGTTGCGTTATTTTTGGCTTTGCTTTGGCCATTTTACGATGTTTCGCGTCTGTCCCACCCGTAAAATTCCCGTTACCATCGTTCTCGTCCTACGTGCATCCTTGGCTACCGCGCACTTACTACCGTAGCATACTGTAGTGTCGCGAATATTATCCCTACATCCAATCTCACTTGGGGCCCATTTAGTATGAATATACGTAAGCATTTGAAGGATTACAGACAAAGTCCTTGATGACCCTATTTATGTACAATAAGTTTTCACATTCACACCCGAAGTAAAGCTGCAAACACTCCAAATTTTGTCCCTTCACGATACAGCATTGATAATATGGGATAGAATTTTATAAGACTGGCTGTGATTAGTCCTGTTGCAAAAGTCGGTCTTTGTCGAAAATTACGCGAGCGAGTTCTCTTTTAACCACGTGAATTATGTCGGCCGTCACCATCTCAGTTGGTAGCGTGTACCTTGTCGGCTGAACGAAAACTTCCTATGGTCTAGCCGTGTGCGTTTGCTTTTAACTTTGTAGAAATGGCTGCGTATATGAAATGCACAAGTAAACTCAAAGAGGACCTCCGGTCTCAGTGAGCAACCTTGGCCACGGACAATCCGGAAGGTCCAGAGTAGACTGGAGTTTGGGTGCCTACATGATAAAGGCAATAAGCCAAGCACATTCAACATCTTCTGGTACGACAAAGGATTTTGCCGATCGCCGTCTTCGTTGCTTTACGTTGCACCCGCTTGAGTAGGTCAATATCATTCCTCATCCCTGATGAATCTGCTGGCATTCCATACTAAAGAGGAGATCTTACAAGGACGCCCAAACGTCTTGCAAAGAGTTCGGGAGGAAATATTTTAAATGCACGTCTGATCCAGTGTAGAGTACTAGTTGCCTTCTCGACCATCTTTCTACAGTGTTCTGATGGCATTAAATTTGTAGTCATCCATATACCCAGATCTCTGTGCCTTTCTACAGTTTCTAATACCGCGTGAATATAGTATTGATGCTTGAGAGAGACATGCATTTGGGCACTTTAAACTTCAAAAGCCATCTTTTTGACCAAACATTCAGTTTGTTAATGTCCGACTGCAACTTACTTGCGTCATCATCACACTTAACTTCACTCCATATTTTTATGTCATCCGTGAACATGAGAGCCTCAAAATCTAGTTTGCCGACGCAATCATTTACATAGATCAGGAAAAATAGTGGGTCTAAAACAGAACCATATAGGACACTACTTTCTACCTTTGCTCATTCCGAGGTAGAGTTACCAACAACGACTTTTTGCACTCTGGATGAGAGGAAACTCCGGATACAGTTAAATGTTCTCCCTTGAATTCCTACATCCTAAATCTTCAGAAAAAGAAGCCTGTGTCAAATACCTTATTGAACTCAAAAATATGACATTCACTGGATAACCCTTATCCATGGCCCTTGTCCATTTCTCATGCGAATAATCAACACTCATAAGAAAAGGACATCCCAGACGAAAGCCATGTTGGCGTCACATAATATCTTGTTTTTTTCCAGGTATTCCATCAAATGAATCTCAATAATGCGCTCCATTATTATACATGCAATGCAAGCCAGAATGACAGGTAAAGAATGTGCGAAGCCAAGACGTAAACTTCCCTTATGACTCGGGACGATGAATGCACACTTCCATTCTTTTAGGGAGCTCAACTCCTTCAGATGATTTTTGGAATATGATAGACAGTGGATCGTACAGTTTATGAACAAGTCC